AGGGTACTATATTAGGGTCCCCGTCGTGCTGCCAAGCTGCTGGATAAATTGGCGAGTTCGTCCCGAAGCAGCGGACCGAGAGGCCATGCGGCGCAAATAGACGCGGGGCGCGGGTGAGGCGCAGCATCAGAACTCAGGCTCGAAGACGACAGGAGAACAACGGATGTCTCGCAGGATCATGGGGCTTTCCATGGCTTTCCCAGCTCAACTGCAAGCTACTTCCACCTGCTTTGGAGTTGGTTCCAGCATGCAGCAGGATGCTGCAGATTTCAGGAATCGATTGGGGCTTTTTTTGGGGGTCTGAGCAGGTTTGAGCACGATTGAGGTCTCAGAGGCGCCTAAGAAGCTGCCTGTGAAAGGAAACTACAGGTGGGGAGTTGAGGGTATAGAGGGCTTCCATAAGGCTTCTCTAAGGTATATAGACCTTCTATAAGGCTCCTATAACTGTAACCACCCACCTGAAAATGTCCCAGAGCCTGTCTCTAAGGCGGCTAGGGAAACCTTCCTTGAGCATGCCCGCTCGGCTGCAGCAAAGCGCAAACTACACTCCTCCCCCGATGCCACCTGAGATCACCGCACATTTTGCTCTACCTGACTCTACCTGGGTTTATAGGGTTTAGGGGCTTAGGGTTTAGGTCACCGCACATGTTGCTCTACTTGGAAGGGCAGAAGACTCGGCATGTAGATCGGTCGGATTGTGAGGTAGGGTACCTAATCCTCGCATCCCAAACTCTACAGCCTACAGCCACAACTAACAAGTCCGAATAGCCTAAACCCGAGCGTAAAAAAAAACACATCCGCAAAGCACTAACTGCACCCTTAAGGGAACTCTCAAAGGAACCCTTAGGGGAACTCTTTAAGAAAGCCTTAGAGCTATCCCTTAGGGAACCCTTCAGGGAGCCCTTGATTACGTGAACCTTTAAAGGGTTCCTCCTGCTTCGAGGAGTAAACTCTAAACGCCCCAAAGGCTAATTTACTATTTCAGCACTCTGCGATTCTATTATTTTACTACTTTACTACTTACTACTCTACTACTGTACTATGACTATTATACTATTCTACCACGACCAAGGAAGCCCCTGAACCCTAAACCCTAAACCCTGTTCCCAGAGACTCCAATATCCCTTGATAAAGGAGTATACCTTAAATTATAATGGAAACCCCAATAAGATTTAAGGTATATTCCTTAATTAAACCCTATACCCTAAACCCTCTTTAACCTTTTTAGGGTTCCTTATCATGATTTCCTTGTATAAGTCCTCCAACAAGTAGGTTATTTAGGGTCCAGGTATGGCCTGGCTCTAACCCTAAACCCTAAAGCCCCTAAAAGCCCTAAAGCCCCTGAAGCCCCTAAAGCCCCTAACGCCCTACGCAACACGAAGGCCGCTTCCCAGAGACCCCAATATCCTTTAATTAAGGAAGTTATACCTTCAATTAGAATAGGAACCCTAATAAGATTTAAGGTTTCTTCCTTAGTTAAACCCTAAACCCTAAACCCTCTTTAACCTTTTTAGGGTTCCTTATCATGATTTCCTTATATAAGTCCTTAAACAACCCTAAACCCTAAACCGAAAACCCTAAACCCCTACACCCCAAACCCCTAAACCGTAAACCCTAAACCCTAAACCCCTAAACCCTAAACACCCTAAAACCCAGTAAACCTTAAAACCCTAAAAACCCTAAAACCCCTGTCAAAACCCGAAACAACCCTAAAACCCCTGCTACGCAACGCGAAGGCCTGGCTCAGACCCGCACCCGCCCCGGCGCTGCGCAGGCGCCGGAGGACCAGCTCTCGCAGCTCGGGGCCTCGGCAGCCCAGGAGGCGGCGGCTCTTTGGGCGTTTAGGGGCTTTTGGAGGGTTTTGAGTGGGTTTTTAAAGGGATTCAGAGGGTTTTGTAGGTTTTTAGAAGGTTTTTAGTGGGTTTTAGAGATGGTTTTACAAGGTTTTAGAGGGTGTTATACGGTTTTTAGGTTTTTAGGGTTTACCTGGACCCCAAAATAGCCTACCTTTTTGGGGTCTTATATAAGGAAATCAGGTACAAGTAGGGCTTAGGGCTTTAGAGCTTTGGGGGTCGGGCTTCGAGCTGTGCACACAAAAAAAGGATTCAGGCTCAGGGCTTACCTTAACCCCAAATAACCTACCTTTTTTTAAGGACTTATATAATGAACTCATAAATTATGACTTCTTTATTTAAGTGCTTAAAACAAAAAACCTATCTTTTTAGGGGTTCTTATTCTTAATAAGGAACCCTAAAAAGGTAGGTTCTTTAGGGTCCAGGTAGGACTTAGCTAGGGGTGGACGGTTCTTGCGTCTCGGTTATCTTCGGACGCCAGAGGAATTCTCTAAAGAGGACATATGAGCAGACATAGCTAAGCTTAGGGATGGTTTAATGTTTAGGGTTTAGGGTCTAGGGTTTTAGGGCTTTAGGGCTTTAGGGTTTTAGGGTTTGGGGTTTAGGGTTTGGAGTTTGGGGTCTAGGGTTCAGGGTCGAGGGTTTAGGGTATAGGGTCTAGGGTTTAGGGTTTAGGGTCTAAGGTTTAGGGTTTAGGGTCCAGGGGTTTAGGGCTTAGGGTTTAGGGCTTAAAAGCCCTGAAACACTGAACCCGTGATTGGAGGTACTCCATAAATAAAACCCTAGACCCCGAAACCGTAGTAGGGGGTACTCCATAATCCTACTCATGGCTCTGAACGGACACAGAGTCTCGAACGAGGAATATTCCTCAAACCTTTACTGGCGATCCTTTTCCGAAAGGACTCTTTCCACGCTTCGTAAACCGACATCCCTGAGAAGGACTCTTGCAGAATGGAACCCTCGTAGAACCTGGATAGAACTACCGATAACAAAACATCTTAGTACAACTTTCGAATCCTACCCTAAACCCCCTAATTAAAGGAAACTACAGGTGGGGAGGTTAAGGTATATACGGCTTCTATAAGGCTTCTATAAGGTCTAAAGACCTTCTATAAGGCTCCTAAAACGGTAACTACTCACCTGAAAATGCCCTACACCTAAAAGAAACTACAACAGAAAGCCTACGGGGTCTGAAACCCCTGAACCCTGTACAACCCCCCCCCCCCCTACAGACCTATGTTACAACAAAGCCTACGAGGTATGAGCCCCTTCGAACCCTTTGAGGCCCACGTAGGACCCCTAAGCCCTAAACCCCTATAAACCCCTAAACCCCCTAAACCCCTAACCCCTAAAACCCCTAAACCCCCTAAACCCCCTAAAACTCCTAAACCACTAAACTTTAGGCCCTAAACCCCTAAACTATAAGCCCTAAACCCCTAAACTTTAGGGGCTAGGCCCTAAAACCCTAAACCCCTTGAATTCGACTGCCGAGGCTTCGGCTGCTGTTTGCCAGCTCCTTGAGCTGCGCCGCCGGAGAGGCAGCAGGCTCAGCCTTCCCAAAGACTCGGGAGTCCCCGAAATTTGGGGTTTAGGGGGTTGAGGCTTTCAGGGGTTTAGGGGTTTAGGGGTCTAGGGGTTTAGGGTTTAGGGTTTTAGGGTTTCAGGGTTTCAGGGAAAAAGGGTTGGGGGGAAAAAGGGGCCTTAGGAAATGTAAATTAGGGTCCCTTCTAGGGGTTCCTTACACGAATCTATAAGGTTTCTGTAGGGTTTCTATAAGGGTACTATGCAGGCTCAGCCTTCCCAAAGGCTGGGGGGGACAAAGAAGGGGCCTTACGAACTTTGGGGTTTAGCGGTTTAGGGGTTTAGGGGCTAAGTGGTTTAAGGGTTTAGGGTTTTGGGGCTTTAGGGGTTTAGGGGTTTAGGGGTTTAGGGGTTTAGGGTTTAGGGGTTTAGGGTGGAACCCCCTAAAGCCCTCAAGGCCTTAGAGCTGTAGGCTTGCAGGGTTCAAAACGGCTTCACAGCGTCGAAAAAAAGGGTGCTGTATACGGTTTTAGAGGAGTTCACGTGCTGCATTCGGTGGTTCCTTTTCGGGGTTCCTTTTTTCTCCCCTGCCTCTTCTGTATGCTTGCTGAGGGGCTTTGCGTTCACTACCCTACTGAGGAAACAATATCACGGTAGCTTACAGTCTTCCGATATCTCGCCTTAAATCCTGAATGAGCCCGAAAGCCTTCCAAATCCCACCAAGATCGCAACAAATGCGACAAGGCTTGAATATGCATGTTATGCAGGTTGCGACCAGCTCCTCAAGCGTGAACTCACGAAGCATCGTGATAGTAATAACCACAACCAGAACCGTCATCGCAATCATGATTTCGACAAAAGAAGGCACCAACAGAAGAGTAAAACACAGTACTTTTAGTACAAGTAGCACCAGCTCTTGTAGCACTAACAACCAAATTTAATCATAGTAATCATAGTAGCCGTAGTAGTCGCAAAAAATCATGGTAGTTGCTTACTAAACCACAGTAACCGTAGTAATCATCAATCACAGCAATAACAGTCGTTAAAAGTCATCGTAGCCATAATCGGTAATAAGCGTAACAACCGCAAAAATGGTGATCAGGACAATAGTAGCAATAGCAATCGTTGAAACAAGAACCTTATTCATTAACAGCAACAAGAATTTCAATGAGAACAATCGTGGGAACAACAGGCTCTAAACCCCTAAACCCTAAACCCCTTATGCCCTAAACCCCTAAACCCTTTAAATCGAAAGGGCCCCTTTCCCAAAGTCTCAGGCTCTAAACCCCCTAAACCCCCTAAACCCTAAACTCCATCGAAAGGGCCCTTTCCCAACGTCTCAGGCACGACTGAAAAGCAAACTGCGGCCTGACCCTGCGAGAGCTCCTCACCCTTGGAGCTCTCTCTGAGGCTGGGTTTAGGGTTTAGGGAGTAGGG